CCCGGATTATTTCTTACCCTGCCTGATTCAGAGGGGTCTCTCGGCTGTCTAATATTGCCTGTTCTCCGGTACTTACTGCTTCCGCCTCCTGTCCTCTACTTCGTCGGATCCTGCGTCGTTGGCCCTGGGATTTATGAAACTTCCCTATGACTCCGTTAGAAATCTTCTATTTCGTCCCTTTTGGTTACTACTGGCTCTGTGTTGGATCCTCTCTGTTTGTTCGGTTGGGGATTATTGTTCCGTTCCTGCCCCTTTCGTCTGACTTCGATCCTTTTGGGGGTTGTGATCCTATTTCCTCCTGGGGTGGGGGTTGGTCGTTCGTTTTGGTGATATCACTCCTTTTACTTGCTCCTGGGGATGATTTTTCCGTAATCGCATCCTGTGGAAGTCCGTGCTCCCCTTGCCCGAGGCCTTCGTTTATACAGGATCTCTCTTGTCCGCCCCGGTGTATGGGGAGCCTGACTGTTTCCCTGCTTTTGGATCCTCTTTTTTGGCCCACTTGCTCTCGCCCTCGCACGTGTGCCTCTTCTTGGTTCGGGGTTACTCCCTCGGTAGGTCCCCTGACGAGGTTGCTTGTTTGAGAGTTCGGGTCCTTGAGGGTCTCTGTGACACATAGACATAATGCCCCTAGGCGTGTTGTCTCCTGTTGGCTCTCCTTTTCAGTCTTGGGTGGTCCTCTGGCATTGGGGAGATGAATACGGGGTCTTGCCTTTAGTTGTCCTGCTCTACTTCTTGGGAGATTAAGTTTCTACCTTTGCTCAAGCTCTAGTGCTGTAGTGTGCCTGGTCCCTCCATAGTTACTCACTCTAGTCCTTATCCGTCGGCTTGGGTGGTTCCTCCTCTTTACTTCACTTCTCCTTTGGCTTATAACTCTAACTCTTGTTGCACTTCCCGCTTGCGTCAGAAAGCTCCTGGATTATTCCCTGGATTTCTCCTTCTCTCCTCCTTATTCCTGCCCTTTTGTTGGGGTCCCTTTATACTTTACCTCGATCGATCGTAATATGATGCTTGCGCTGAAAATTTGTTGGATTGGATGTCTTTGGTGGCGTATCCCCGGTTCCCCTGCTGATTTCCGATCTGACCTGATAGAGGACTCTTTACTCGACTATTCTAGAGGGCCATTGGCTCCTCTCAGAGTCCTTCCATGGGTGTCCGCCGGTTTGGGTGGTGTTTATTACTTCCTTGTGAGTTTCCTGACCGTTTAACCCCCGTGTTCATTTGTCCCACCTTGGATCTGGTCCAATTTTCTTTCTTTTGTTCCTCAGTCCTACCCTTGTTCGTTGCACTGACTTGGCTCACTTTCCCCGTTTAGGATTATTTTCTGGGTCACTTAACCATAAGGCTTGGATTCAGTGGGTGGGGCCCCCCTATTTCCGGCTAAGAGCTCTTGAATTTTTCAATTCGTTCCTTGTGCTGGCGTTCTCCTTAGCTCTCCATGCTGGTGGGTGAATAATTTTTACCTCTGATACCTTTCTCTGTTGAATTTGGAGGTTCGGGCCATTAATTCCTCCTACTCGAGTATTTGCCTCTAACGTTGGGAGATCTGTGATTTCGTCCCCTGTACATCTTCATTATTCAACCTCGGGATTCGGTTTTTATATTATACAGTAAGATTCCTCGGTTTCATTCTTAGGGTCTGATATCTTCTTCGAATCCTCTTGGTGGATGAGCTATAACACTAGACTCTTACCTGTGTCTTTATCTTTCTTAATTTATATTATATATAAATAAGAAGCGGCTCAACACGGTCTAGTTGTTATGAGGGTTGTGAGTATCCATACTTCATTTGCGGTTTGTTCCTTTATCTGTTTCTGCTCCGAGATACGGCAAATAATGATTTCCTCTGTGACGCTTATGCTGGTTCTGGATTATACCTGCCTGAATTGGTTTTGTTTTTGCTATAATATATCCTTCATATCCATAGGGTCGGATGTCCTTGAATTTTACCACCTAGGTTTGCTTGAGATAAGTTAGCCTTTAATTTGTTACATAGGTTTTCCCTGTCTAGGAGGTATATTCGTCATCTAAATCTCCATCTTGTTGTTTTCTTGGGGTAACTATGTAGAGATACGGGGGGATTCGTCTTGGTTTTTTTTTTTTAGAGCTGGAATTTTGGGGATTTGGTTTGACTTTATCATGTTTTGGGTAAAATATAGAGATTTCTTATACAATATCAGGGGGGGCGTTTTATTCCTGGGAAAGGAACTCCGTCTTGAAGAACCTCTCCCACTTATACCTGAACTTTTTGTAGAAATCAGTTCCTTTATGAATAGGCTTTCTCCTGGTGGGGAGGCTTCTTGAGTTGTGCCCTTCTGAGATTTCATTAATCATATAGTGATTAAACTCCTTCATGGCGATTGCTAATACTTCCGGATTTTGGTTTATCCTGGATATCTTATAGAGAGGTGTATACTTTAATTCCGGAATTCCACAAAGAACATTACACTATTCAGACTCTTCTATTTCATACAAGGATTTTATTCATCCTAATTCACTGACTGCATGAATGAATTATTAACATAACGATAAGATCTGCAGATTCAGACACCTCTTTGTACTTTATTTTTGGGAGAATATTATCCGTTCCAGAAGTTTATCCTTAATATATTAATATTCGGCTGACTTCCGCTTTATTTACAGAATACTACCTTGGATATAGAAATAGGGGATTTCGTTAATTAATTTTGGGTTATTCTTATTTTATGCAAATTCTCATACTCTTCTTATATTTACTCGTCAAATCATAGGGGTTTACACATTATACGGGGGGAAAAATTTATCCAATACCCCTAGAATGTTTAGGAACTTGGAATTATAACTTCTTTGGTAGGTTATATTGGTAAATGATGGGGAATTAATTCTGGAATGTTGTAAGGATTGATTTCGGTAGATACTAAAACTTCTATGATGGCTGCGCAGGCCGGGACATCACATTACGGAGACAGAAGGATTTTAACAAAACAGGGGGTACAAATCATTGGTAGTTGTTATAGAAGCAGCCTTCTAAGAGAATAAGACTCTGTGTATATCAGTTTGGCTTAAACATTAGTACATTCAGATAACAGTAGTACTAAAATCTGTGCCATCGTCACAATTAGAAATGGGAACATACCAGTACTCTTCTTGTCTTTCTCCTTGGGGAATATTTATGTACTTCATAGAATAGTGCTTCACGAATAATGACACACCTCGATAATCAGGAATGTTCACACAATAAGAGTTTTAACATTATATTAGGGCTGGAACAGTTGGATGTTTTATATAATACGGTCGGAGGAAACCCTTGGGATTTGTGGAATTCTTCAATTGATATCATACGCCTATGAAACCAACATGACGACCCTTCAAATAATGCTATTCCAAGGCCAGTTGTACTCATCAGAACAAACTATTCTGTACATAACATCAGTGTTGTTCAAGTAATCGTGCAATTCACATATTCATGTGTCCCACACAACTGTACCCCCCATACGGAGGTACTATGCCAACTTCGACACGTTTTGTAACGGTTGGCCCCCCACATACGGCATAAAGCTAAGTCATGAATTCTACATCCCCCCTTACTTTACTTAATAATACCGGCTTAACTTCGGCACTCATCAAATGGCATCCTACAAACCATATCAGGCATCCTTAGATATGAGTACTATACATACATCTATAGTGTCCCCATAAAAGTACTCCAAGTCATGAATACTCTTTCAGCGAATATCCTGTTCAAATGGAATTATTATGAACACAACACTACTGTAAACAGGACGCTACTTCTTGTATTATCGTACTCTATCAAAGAATCGTACTCCAAGGGTAATCTTACTCATAAAGGAAAAACACTTCAAACATCATGCTTTCGTCTGTATAATAGCACTCCAGGTGATCCATATAGATCCACTACTTGTACCTTTATAGAACAGTAGTATGAGAACTTCTACACCCGTCTCCATTGAGAATCTACAGGCATCAGTACTTTCTAGACAATAGTTATACTGGAATATCCATCCACTTCACAGAATGGTGCCGTCCATGTAATGAAAGCATAAACCCTGAATCCTTCACATACACTAGTACATGGAAACACTATTCCTTACATAATAGTAGTAGAAATATATTTCCGCGCATCATAAGCAAGGGGAATCCACACCGGTATTGCACAAATAATGATACCCCAAGTACACTTGCTCTCTTCAGATACCAATACAATAATGGTGTTACTATTTTCCCTATATGAGTACTACGAACCCCTGGGTACGTGTGATATACAGTAACATTGAAGGATATCCTTACCCTTTACACAGATGTGCTGCTGAAATAAAGGAACTGCAGGCGCAATGAAACCCTTCAGATAACACTCCCCTAGAACATCATTACATTTCACATAGTACTGCATTCAGCATGTCAGTGGACTCAACAGAATGGCATTCTCCATATACTCACGCTCTTCACCTGGAATGAACACTGTTATATTCGTGCTCCTCAAATAAATCTGCTCCAGCCTGTTTGAAGGGTTCAAATCATTCAGTTGCTCCTACATTACTTGGATTATTCCTTAACCCCCATCCAATGACATGGCTGGTATAGTTGTATACTTCACAACCATGGACAGCTGCGATATATTCCAGAGGTCTACACACTTCTTCTCTTTATTTAATACTACAACACGTATATTTGCAGACTTCATCCAATGATTTCATTCATATAATAGTATTCTTGAAACACAAATACAAAGTAGAAATAATATTAGCTTCTGGAGGTCAGTACTATTCAAATCATAGTAATCCGAGCACAGTAGTACTCATCCCCATGATGCTATTTCTCCCATATCAATACTTTGCAAACATGGAGACTATTCATATGATAGTATTCTGGGAATATCAACACTTGAAGTTAAAAAGTTATTTTCACAGAAGCGTAATCTAAGGATATCTTTACCATTGGTAGAGTGGTTCTGCTGAAGTCTGGGAGCTTCACGCATTGAACCGCTCGTAATATAATTATACTTCAGGGATTGGTACCAGTCTGAAGCAGCAGTGTTTTTCGTATAATACAAACGGAAATCCAGGGCCTCAAAGTGCACCCCCCTCAGATATCCTTGTTTCAGGAACACTTATAATTCGCGCATAACCCTGCTTCCTAAATGACAGTACTACGCACATATGAGTATACTCACAAATTACTGCTCCTGATTATTCTTACTGCCTACGGAGGTAGTCTATTCAGAAAACAATGCACAACAAATATTACCACAGCTCAACCATTAGTGCATTCATATAACAACACTACGATAACTTCTGTAATCATCACCCTTCAGAATCCATACAAATCCGTACTGTACACGCGTGAATCCTGCTCCAATATTCCTACACTCAACGGAATAATGCTTTTCAAATAATGATCCTCCTAGAATATGGATATTTCACACACAGGACTACGGTTTACATGATAGTACTTCTGGCACCATAGTACAATGGAAATAATGGTTTTGCAGACATTTCTTAGAGGTTGTACAATCCCGTACTTCATATAATTGGGCCACTAAACTTAAATCCATCCCCTTCACATAATGGCCCTTCAGAGACAGGAATGCTCATCTAGTGACACCATTCGGTACATAACCGTAATAATCTTCAAAAGATAGAAGACTGAAGAGGTCTATGCGGTTTAAACAACAGTACGCTTCATATAAACCTATTACGGAAACGCTCGTACCTTCTATGGTGTACCTCTCTGCATATGATAAAACATTATGCCATATATCTTATCTGCTTGAACATAACTTACTTGACAGTACTATCGTAAGCTTCTGATGCTCCGAATAAGAATGTAGCGGGGATATTAGCACTTTGCAGCTATGAGTACGGCATATATTGATCTAGTTTTCACATAATGATACCACCACTCATCGATACTTCCCATACAACTGTGCACTTCAAATGAAGGTATTATCCAGACAACAGTATTGTTAACATAACGGTATTACTTGTACAAGCTTACTCTCCAAAGAATAGTACCACAGATATAGTCGTATTAAGGAAGGCACATAACTGCAGATAAACTGGTACCCCGTAGAATAATAGCACTCCTGGAAGATCAATACTCAAGACAAAAAAGTACTCTTAATATCATTATACTCCGTGAGTAGCAATACTCTTTAACTAATAGTATTACAGATGGGTCCTGGGAGCTCCGCCCTCCAGCACGGGTTCTAATGAAGTCATTAG